TGATCATTTTCTCTTCAATTGATCCCTTTCAAATGTCGATCAAGGACATCAAATCCGAATTTGATCAATTTGGGGTCAGGCAGCCGACCTCAGGGTGAGATCGTGCCTACCTGATCAAAACTTGATCTGAATCATCCTGCAGTTTTTCGGATCCGATCTACTAGATCAAAACTTGGTCAGGTTCTCATCAGGCATCATCTGATCATGTCTACCTGATCAGAATTTGATCGGAACGGCATGTATCATAAACAAACATATCAAACATTGCTCAAATTTTTACAAAATATTGGTAAAATTCAAGAATGTCTTTACCTGGATTTTTATATAATAATTCACCTGAAACTTACAGTTTTCATTGATTTTTTCATCAAGTTGTAAAGTTTCCATGTTATGCGATAAAAATTTCCGCAAAGTGTACCCGTAATTTTAGTCAAAAATTTTCAACAGTGTACCGTTTAGTAAACTTTCTCTTGCTTTGCCAGGGATGTGAAATGACGTCACGTTTCAAAATCCGCCAGGTCAGAAAAATGACCGTCAAGTGACTGTCATGTGACATCAATTTTTTCCATGTAATAAATTTCCTTTATACTTTCCTCTGCGATTTCGAACCAAATAGCTAGATCTAAACTGACAGTCATGAATTTGTAAGTCATAAAATTTTGTCACATTTTGAAATAAATCGTATTTTTAATTACTCATTTCGATTTGAAAAAATTTATTGTATGTGTTTGATAATTCGCTAAACACCTTATCATCATGAAACCATGGGGCTATGTCTGCATCCCAAGTTATACTACCACTAGTTAGATGTAATGTGGCAGCCAGATAGTGAACTGGTCATAATTTTGTCATATGACAAGAATTCGTCATATTTCCGTCTATCTCAGGATGTTTGGTGTGTATTCTAAATTGCCAGGGCAAAGCAAAATTTTTCATTCTGATACGAGAATGATAATAAATGATAATAAAAATTAGAATGTGAAGAATGGTAATTGCTCCGTACAAAGAGGGCAAATTTTATCTGACGCTCTTCAAAATTTACGACAACAAAGAACATTTTCCATCACACTTCCATGCTACCGCACGAATACATTTTGTTAGATAATTTTCATCTAGTTTATTGAAATGACTCTGTTAGGCAATTTTTTCCTCGACGAGTCCAAAGTTATTTGTTGATTACATTGTCATACTCACGAATTTGAATAATCATTGACCCAGAGCGCGTCGAGTCCAAGTCAAGGTGCATCTTGATTACACATGTCAAACTAAAATGATAATTTGTGAAATTGCGTCAATATTTTGAGCGTAAAAAATAAATCTGTGTCATTATCATCTCTCAATTAAATTGATTAAATTTCGTTGCAGCATTTCTTCGAATACCCACTACAAATCAGTAGCGAAGCGGTAAAACGGTTTCATTTGATTTTAACTATTTGCCAGTTTTCAATGAATATCTCGGAATGTAAGGGAGATAGCAAGGTTTGTATTACAACCTTTATTGTAGCTCTCAAGTCGCTCTAGAAAAAAGATAGTTACGAAAATTTCGGTGTCTCTCTTAGATTCACAGATATAACCTCGAAAACTCAGCTAAGGGCTGAGTCGATTAAGGACATCCCAGTATCGTTTATAGTTTGGTACAAACCACACTACTGATTTAATCATTTTCAATCCTCAAATTTGTCAATTAAATTGCCTGAAAAAAATTTTCAGGCAAAGAAAGAAAGTCATGAATATTCAGCGTCATTCAAATTACATTTTACACGGAATTATCAGTTTTTAAACAGTCGCTGTTTATGAATAAATGATTGAAATTATTTTAAACTTTCACAAGCTTTAATTTTTTACGCATAAAATCAATTTTTGGTAAACCTCTGAACATGAATAAATTTGTTACGATTCCGAACAAATGATTTTCACGGTGAAAAATTGATTGCTTATAAATTATTTATAGAAAATGCTCGTAATTTTAAAAAATTGCAATTTTTTAATTAGTCCATCAATCTTCCCCGAAAAGTAAACATTCGATTTTTTTCTTTCAGCTTTTTAAAATTATTTCTAAATTCAATATCGAGATTCAAATTCAGACCTTTATAGTTTAAATAATGAACTTAGGGCCAAATGGGGCTCAAATGAAAGATCTGATGTTTGACTACAAAAGTATTAGAAAAACATTTCACTGGAGAAATAGATAAAAGCTGTCGAGACGAGTATTTTGAAAAAAGAAAAAATCAAATCCGTAGAGTAGATTGTGAGATATTTAACAACATATATTTACACTGTTACGTCCGGAGAATTTATTAATGCGTCGGAGGACTATCTTTTCATTTATATTTAAAAGAAAGCTAAAATTTTTAAATTTTTAAAAATTTGGACGACGTGAAGTTTTATACTCTTACCTTGGTAAAGGGGCTTTCTGGTGGAAAAAGGATTTGATAATTAGGGAAAGGATTAAGTTCTCCAAAAATGCTGAACAATTAAGGGATTTAAAATTGGTGTGTGCTTTAATTATGAATTTAAGAAAAATTTAGGTTTACAAAACAGAATATTTAATTTACAAAAATCTAACAATTCAATTATCTCGAAATTTTCTACCCCTGGAATGATCTGAACGATTCAAATTTGGGTTTACAAATTTTATTACTCACAATTCGGTCTGTTCGGTATAAATTAATCGATGTATTTGTAGATCCCTGGGTAAATCCGTAATTTCCTCACCAGCAATTAGTCGTGCTAAAGGCTATTATGGATACTTTCACGGAAACACTTTCTTCTACTCGTTGATGTATTTTAATAAATTTTGACAGTTGAATTTTGAGAGTTTTAAGAGTTTGTTTGAGACTGCCCAACGTGTCACAATGAACGAATTCCTTATATGTAGGAAAAGTCACCACTCTCGATTAAAGAAATTTCATTCCCCGATAATTTCAATTGTTCGTAACCTACTATTAATTCAGTACTATCCCGCGAAATCGAAAGAAGGATTGAAAAACCGGACCGATTAAGTGAACTACTTCCACCAAAATTGTTACTGCTTCGTCGCTGCTTCGAGACTATTTAATTTCGATTTTTCCGACATTTTTATATGAATTTTGAAGTCACTTGTCACATGGGCTCCAATGAGTCCATTTTTAATTGGTGGAAAATGTCGTATGACTTCTCCCACTCTTTTGATTTTTATGGGGAAGTAGTTCATTCGGTTTTTGGGGTCTCAATACATCGGTTTTCAATCGTTCCTCTGTGTGCGAATTTTGAAATTGTGTAATGGGGGCGTGCTGAGTGAGACATTTCGTCATGGTGCACTCAATTTCAGTGTCTTTGGAATTTTTAATCGAGTTCTAATGACGAAATATCCCACTCAATTATTGAATTTATTATTTTACATTGTGTCTATATTTTAATTTAATTTTAAATTCTCGCATAACAATTTTGGATATTACAACACAAAAGGTTGCATATTTCAGTAACCGCTTGGCCGATTGCGCCCATCCAAAATGCTAACTTTTAGTATTATAAGAGCAAAAGTCACAGCAAAATTTCAACTTGTTAGCTCGATTTTTTATCAACTTATCATGCGTACGAGAGTTTTCATGAAAAAAACGAAAAAACTACATTAGAATATCTCCAAACTTTGTACTGAAGGGGTATATATATTTTGATTGATGGCGATCGAGGCCATTGAGGCGAGTATTTTGAGAGAAGAAAAATTGAAATCGGTGTGGTAGTTGTTGAGATATCGAGGAAAAACGAAATTTAAACAAATTGTTATATCTCAGGAACTACCGGACCGATCGGGCTGAAACAGTCCGCTAAAGTTGAGTTCAGTCATAGCTACAATGAGCCACAATTTCAGCTTTTTGTCTTCAAATTTCACCGTATTTATGTTGAATTTTCTAAAAATTAATCACCAAAAACCCAACTTGTCACATACATACATACAGATATGCAGGGATCGGCAAACATGGTTACTAAGTAATTTCAAATGAAGATTGCCGTAGATTAATCAAAGATTCTTACTTTTTCATTTGAATTTGAAGAAAATTTTCAATTCACAATTATAATAAAACAATAATTCATAATTCATATTTGAATATTGAACATATTTTATTGAACATATTTGAATTTGATTTTTCAATTAATCAAATAATCATTCTTGCGAAGTTGATTACTGACTTATAAAATATTTAAAAAATTAATGTTGATTCATAATTGATCTTTAAAATTATAAAATTGTACAATACAGTACAAAATCAGGTATTACATGCCTGATTTTGTATGTAATAAAATCATTTTAGTTTTGTATTACTATTTTGTCTATCTCTGCAGACATGACCCTAAAAACATTATTTCTTCACATTTCATAACATCCTAGACAATTTTCAATTAAAATTAGGAACTCGAGAAATCGGTCAAATACAAGGCTTCCATTCGGAAGGAACAGTCACAGTACTTGGATATCTTTAAATAGTGTTACCGCTTCGCTACTGAAATGCCTTTTTTGAGCATCGGCAATCAATTCCATTCGATGGATATAATTTTGTTAATAACATAAATATGTTGATGACACTCAAATATTCGCTGAATTAATTGAATTCCATTGTGCCCTCCTCCGGATATCAAATGTATTTTTGGAGCATGAAGTAGTTAATTAACATTACTCACTAAACACAATAACAGTTTGAAAAATTCGAATGGTGCTGCTGCAGTATTATGCACCAAGTGCGTATCATCCCTGTGCGCTAATTTCGTGGAACCCGTAGGCGCATGTCCGCAGACTGAAATATACATTCGCAAATGTGGATCGATGCCAAGGGACACAAACCGAGCCAAACAGTTGTGCACAGACGTTCATAGACAAATGGAAAAACCAGCGGTCTCGAATATGCAACGATTCAACGTTATCACTGACGCCATTTTCGCTTCAAATTTGCAACTATCAGGGTAATAACTCGCCAACTCAGTCAACGTGTCAACCACTCAGTCAGTCGCATCTCAAAGTACGTTCAGCCACGATTTCTCAGACTTCATGGCTCAAAAACCTAGTTTATATGTGTTATTTCTGTTCTTTATTCGTTTTATCGATAACCCTCGATTCGATCACTAAATCAAACTCCATACTTGAACTTCTTGGAACGCGAATTCAGCGAAATCCGCAAGAAATGGGGCTGAAAAAATCGGCAAAAAAAAGGGAGAGATTAATTGCAGAGTACATTTTCGCGTGTTGACCGTGACCTACGCAAAGACCGGGTCAAGGTCAATCCTCAGGAGCACGCGCAAGCGATAGTAAGTGGAGTTCTTGATTTAAAAAAAGTATATGGAATAGCATTCTCACCACATATAGAAGCGGTTCAAGTGACTCCCGGGGGAATCATCATTTTTAATTCCTCGTTATGGCTCAAAAAATCATGATGGGTGCGTCAAGATGTGCTGAAAAATTTCAGAACTATTAAGTATTCCGGATTTTTTGTACTCTTTTTCTTCCTAAACAAATTTGTGTGCCGTTAAAAACACCTTGTACTGAGAGAATGCTGTTCGTAACTGAAAGATAACTGCATGAGTTGTATAATGGAAATGGCAGGAAAATTTCTTCCTTAACTAGAAAAATGCCAACTTGTTTTACTTCTCGAATTTTCGAGATCTTCCGAAAAGCATGTTAAAAAGTGCAAATTTTTCTTGTGGAATTCCATACACAATCCTAGTAGGTACAGTAGAGGAGCTCATTGAGCATTTGGCGGTTCTTCCTCATGTATTTTCGAATAAGAAAGATTTAATAAAGGGGTAATTATTTTAAAAAACTAGGGTAAACAGGTTAATTTCCGGACGGGGGTTAGTGTCTGGATAATTTCAACTTGCATTGAATATTCCGTAAATAAAATGAAATTTGGACTGATTATTTCACCTTTCAATATTATTACTCGTGCATAATCATGTGATCAATCATTTCTTCTATCGATCGACATTTAATAAATAAAAAAAAATAGGGGAGGGTGGGGGAAAACGGCCCCCCTTCAATTGTCAATAACTTGTGAATGACATTGTGAAAATTCCCAGTTTCAACTTCATTTTGAAGATAATTTTTCATTCTTCAAAACGAGCTCTAACTCATCCCAATCGGATTATTGAATCGGAAAATATTGACGATTGAAGGGGGGCCGTTTTGCCCCATCCTCCCCTATAGCTCAGTTATCCAGAAATTAGGGTTTTCGGCTGCATTCAACTATTTCTTAATTTAATTATTCTTTCTTTTGTTAGGATAAACACACCAGTGTTTGTACTCGTCCAGTGATTAAACTAATTTGTATATTTATCGTAGAACAAATGCTCAATGCAGTGAAATGAAACTTTTGTCCTTTTTAATAACCAATATGAATAACTAATAGTGTTCATGAATTCAATGAGACCTCGTGAAAATTTCTAATAATATTGAATTTTGGTCTTTCGATCATTGGTATTTGACGACACTTAATCGTTCAAACACTGGACAGCTTACCCTGTTTTCACTTCAAATAATTTTTTTTTCCTAATTAAAATATTCTTGAAGGTATGGAAGCCATCATGTCCCCATTTAGGTGACTCTTTTATTTTAGATCCCACCACGAAACTCGAATTTCCCTCAACCGTCCAGTAATTAGCCTGCACGGACAGAAATGTTCAGTAAAAATGAAGGAACTCACAATTCACTCACCGATTATGGAATCGACTCAGAAAATTCAAGTGACGGTATCATAATTTTTCACAGGAGATTCAGATAAAAATTACGTATCGCTCTGGAAAAATTCCGTGACAGTTCCGTAAAATTTCCTACAACCACATTTCGCTTCGGAATTACGGAAATGATACGTAATTTTCATTGAATATTTCTCTTCGTGTGTTCACCCTACTTAGTTTCTACGATGTTTAACTCTAAAGAATGGAAATTTCGTGAGAGCATTTCTTATTTGATTCAAAAAATGAACTAACAAATGATTTCTCATTTGAGTCAAACACTTATTGTTGCCTGCATCAACAACACATGGGGATAGAAAAACTCAATAACTTATGAGAATGCAATCAACTAAGTCATTTCGAATTTTTTCCGGAAATCCATGGGGATTAACGTCTTGAGATATACCTCAATAGCACCTTCAATCTTCTCAACTTCTCTTAGGAACAATCATTCTCAAGTAAGAAAAAATATTCTTAATTTGGCTATTTTTTTTCTATATAGAAACCCCGGAAATATTTATTTCCACGTTCTCCTCATGATTGTCGAGGGCACGCCGAGTTTCAGCAATTGTGCAGTAGATGCTCGCCGTCATCAACTGACAGAATTATGAAAATTATTTCCCCACTATTTGAATACTCGAGAGTTATTTGTCGGGTCTAACAGCAGTGCATTTTATGCAGCCTCTGTACAAATAAACTAGGCATTTATGGTTTATGAAACTGGTGAAATGCTTTTCCGCAAGTCTTGCGTAATTCGATCCCCATGGTCGCTGGAATTAAGTTCTCCGTGAATAGCGTGAATCACAGTGGAAATGAGATTTATGGATAGGTCTCTCATTATACGAATTTTCTGTTACGAATGTTGCCATTTCTTTCGTCGGGTTGTTTTTTCCTTCATCCCAGAAGTCTGTAAGAACTGCTCGCGTTTGTTGCGTTGACGCTTCAACTTCCTCTATGGACAACTGATCATTAAAAAAATTACAATGATTTTTCCTGCTGCGAGTCATGTACGCAGCATTAATTAACATTTTTTGTTGGAGGACGTTGAGTATTATAAACTTGATTCACTAATGCTGAGTTGCCTTTCAAACTGTTATTTTAGATGCAATTGTTAGATCCATATGTTGGAATTGATCTTCGGATTGTCCTTGATTATGTGTTTAGATGTTGGAAATTTGCAAAAACCTTTGCAAAAATTTACAACGCCGTTCGCTAGGGAATTCTTTTGGAAAGTCTAGAATATTCCATGAATAAAATAAACATTGTACTGATTATTTCACCTTTCAATAATATTACTCGTGTATAATCATGTGATCATGTGAAATAAAAAAAAATATCGCCCAATCGTCCAGAAAATTAGGGGTTTCGGCTGCATTTAACTATTTCTTGATTCAATTATTCTTTGTTTTGTTATTTTCACTTCAAATAATTTTTTTCTGCCAATTAAAACATTTTTGAAGGTATGGAAGTCATCATATTCCCATTTAGACGATTCTTTTATTTTAGATCCTACAGCGAAACTCGAATTTCCCTTAACCTTCCAGCAATTGGCTAGTTTAGCCTACACGGAGATGAAATTTTCTAGGAAAATTCATGTACTAAGCACCATAAACGATTCACAATCCGCACACTAGGAAATATTATTGTGTAGCACCAGAAACATTCTCGTGCAGCAATAATTTTTCCGATGGTGAACGACAATTTTTCGGGCATGGCATGACAATTCATGCATTCATGCATTTTTTCTGGTGCTGTACAAGAATTTCTCTGGTTCTACTGTAATTTTTTTAAGTGTGCCAATTGTGACTCGTTTATGATGCTAGCACATGAATTTTTTTAGAAATTTTTTTTCAGTGCAGACAGTTCGTTTTTGTTGAAAAATTTGCATCTTTCTTGTGCGATTTTCTCAACAGAAAAATATTCACTTATAATACTACAAGAGAGCGTCAAAATTATTGGGTAATTCAAACAAAGGAGCCGAATTTTTCAGCGTAAAAAATCACGTGCACGTAGGGCGAGTGATTTTTCTGAAAAACTTGATGACTGCATTTGTATTAGGGAACCTTGAGGGCTACCCGATTCATTTTGAAGATCGAGTACAAATCATGTAGGTTGACCACGTGACGTCGAATGGTGCAATTTTATTGGCTGAAATTTGGATTGGAAGATTAAACAATAGAAAATTTTTTAAAAATTCGGATTTTACTACAACACTCATTTCGTTGACCTTTTTTTTCTAGAGAAATTTTCTGACTTGAATTTCTTAACATTTGTTTATATTGTTCTATACTGAGACGCAGTCACACCCAGGGAGAAGATCCTTCAAAAATTTATGTGGGAAAATAAATAACAAATAACTAATGGAAAATATCTGCAAATAGTTTTCACAGAAAAGTGGAAAAAAATTATTTTTTTGTTTCGCGGTATTTTTATACAAAAATTACTTGGAACACTGTAGATGTCAACAAAAATTTCCATAAAACTAATTGCATTTACAGTTAAAGATTGACGTAAGCATCTTTTTTACAAGAGTAAATTTTTTTATGGTCAAATGCCATGAAACTTTGGCAAAACGTTATTTGAACAATTATAAAATGATCGATCTATCGCTCAGCTCTTCGTCATATTGTCAATATCGATTTTTTTGTTTTTTTGTTTTAGTTGATATCGACAATATGACAAAGAGCTAAGCGATAGTTCGATCATCTTATAATGGTTCAAATAACGTTTTGCCAAAGTTTCATGGCATTTGACCATAAAAAAATTTACTCTTGTGAAAAACTCCGGCCAAAATTGCTTACGTTAATCCTTAAATTCCCTGCCGTGTCAGATTTTTTTGGAATTGAAGCAATAGTTACATGTCAGTTTGCAATGTTGTGAATTCAGTAGCGATGCTGTAAAACGATTTAAATCGATTTCGCTCTTAGCTGAGTTTTCGAGGAATATCTTCGAATCTAAAGAAGATAGAGAAATTTTCTTAATAATCTTTTTTATATAGCTTAATCCGCTCTACAAAGAAGGTTATAACAAAAATTTCGCTATCTCCCTTAGATCCGGAGATATTCATTGAAAACTAACCAGCAGTCAAAATTTATTTGAACCGTTTTACCGTTTCGCTATTGAAGTTGAAATCAATTTAAAATTGGATCGATCAAGGAATTTCTCATTTATCTTAGGAATATAACAAAATTGAGGTTTTTAGGTAAAGAAAATTGTTTGATATTTCAATCACAGTTTAGATTCAAATCCGATGTGCAAATCGAAAATTAATTTCAATTCAATTTCCGATAGTTGAAAAATACTGAAAATTAGTTCACTAAATTGAATTTTTTAATCGAAATTATTTCATAGCAATGTATTAAAAATGTTGGGATTTTGTATTTTTTTTTTGCACGTGAAACCACTTTGAATGATTATCTCCCGACTCTTGAGGTCCTTTCGGTCAGAGTAAAAGAAAGAAATTGGCATATTGAAACCGCCAATATTAAAGCAAGGACAATGATGCTGGGACTTGCGTAGTTTCTCCGATGATAAATCGATCGTCTTTCGGCGATCTATGAATCTCACGTCATCAACCTGGAAATTCAAGGAGTGGAGACTTCTATTCAATCAGTTGACTCTTAAAAGACATTGATTTCAACGTTTGTTCTTTTTTTCTGCGAAACAACGTTTTGCTTTCGCAGACACTACGTAATAACAAGGCTTGTGTAGAGTAGGGGACCATCAGCCAGAGACTTCTAAACTGCTCACTGCCGATCTTTGTTGTCAGTCTCGCATGGAAAGTGTATCGGTGCAGTTTTAGTTGCAGAACTGCTTTGACTCCAACTTTGCGGCTCGACTGTTATTTCATGCAGATCGTGGTGAGCCTGAGGACTAGGTCGTTAGCGTCAAAAGTACCTCGAAGTTGTTGAAGTAGAAACAGGGATTTTGAAAGAATAATATAATGAAAGAAATCTAAATTCTTCACGTCATTTCAAGAACGAAACACATTGAATTTCTTCTACAATTGCAAATTGGATTTAAATTCAAATTTAACCACCAATTTTGAAAAAGAATGCAGTAAGTTCACGATAAAAACGAATGTTTGAATTCCACACAACTTTTGTAGACATTTTTCAGACACTAAAAAACGTCTGAATAAAATGAAATTTGTCTGAATTTCAAACATAAATTAATCTGTTTGGGCACTTGTTCGTCTGAAATTCAGACACATTTTCATTTTATTCAAAAGTTTTTTAGTGTTTGAAAAATGTCTACAAAAGGTGTGTGAAATTCAGAAATTCGTTTTTGCTGTGTTTTCCTAAAATTATAATACTTTAGGTGAAAATTCTGCAAAGACCAATACGAGAGAAATAAATAGAAATGGTTTATTTCAATTCAATCAAGTTTATTTCAATCCAAATGAAGTTTATTGAATATAAAAATGAATGGGTTTACTTAAATAACTCGTAATAATGTTTTCATTTAAACTTAAACTTGATTCATTTTTGCAGTTTCATCCATATCAGGTAAATCGACTATTTTAGTCAGAGATGAATCAATTAATTTGACGCTGAGGAGGACGAATTTATCAGGATGTTATAATCCTTTATTTGAGTCAAATGAATGATTTAGTTTAAATGAATAAATTATTTATTTCATATAATTGAAACATTTTTATTGAAGTAAACATGTGAGTTTGTTGATGTTCATGAAAAATATTGCCGAAATGAATATCAAAATTCGAAATAAAGAGTTCTATATTTAATTCAAATAAATCTCTGGGATTACTAGAATAAAGGGGTGATTCTAAAATTTTTGTGCGTGTATAATGCCACAACTTTTAATCTCTCCTGATTCACATCCGATGATTGCAAACCTCAGAACTTTATCTTTCTATACTGAGATAAAAAATTATTCTTGCTAAATATTCATTTACTTCTTCTGTTCAATGTGGTTAATATTCATTTACTTCGAGGAATCATTAATTTTTTCTAAAGCGTATTTTTCCAATCGAGTCATTCCCAGGCGAGTCTGATTAGGTTTCAATTATGACAATCATGTTGCTCTAGAGGATATCTGTTGCACATGACCTTGGATGAACTCCTCCACTGATTGTTCATTTTTTTCTAAATTTCTGATTTTCAAGAAAGAAGAATTTCGGTTAATTTTTTAATGTCGATAATTATTGAGGGCATTCACTCGAGGTCATAACTAACATCATCATCTTCTAGAGCAATACAATTGTCATAATTGAAACCTAATGAGGATTGCCTGGAAATGACGACTGAAAAAATAAATACTTCTCTCAAATAAATGGATATTAGGCAAAAATAATTTTTCTTCCCAGTGTCCTCCACGTCCATCCATTCAATTATCCATACCGCAAAGCGACAATGATTGTGCAATGAAAAATCCAAATTTCCCTTGATGCGAAATCGTTCATTCCTGTCTCATTAAATTTGCTACTCCCCGCAGATCGATAAGAGCAAGAGCAAGGTATTTCTAGCGAAATCCATTTCTGTCCGTAGTGAATGATGCAGGCACTGGGTGCGATGGAGCAAACCGTTGGCTGGGCGGCAGAGGATGTGCCCGGGTGCAACGACCTGCAATCATTACTCGTAAGCATCAAGCGAACTAGTACATCAATCGAGAGTGACTTAGACAGTGGTTATCAGGATGTCTGCTTGGATAATCATTCAGCAACCCCAGCAACATCCAAAGATTCCCAGGAGTCTGACGCTGATTCGACTGACAAAGACACTAATTCCGACACTGAGTCAATGAGACAGGCGAAGGACCGGAGGATCCACGACGAATCGGCAGATGAGAATGTGAAGCAGTTGTTGTCGGCTGCTAATGAGGTAAACCTCTTACCAAACTGGAGTGAATTGGAAAAAAAGGAGAGGCTAGAGGTGGTCAACGGTTATATTCGTCAATATTTTCCAAATGTGCCGGAGAGTCTGGTGGCCAATTGCTCTGGGAGTCTGCTAATACCCGATGACTCAGGAAATCTACCGTCTGAGGTGCCAGATTGGCTGGACAAGGAAAAGTTTGCTAGGGGTCAGTGCTTGGCGAGGAAAAATATATTCGGAATCTTTTTCTCTAACGGATTGGCGTTGTACACTTTGTACTCGTTCGAGGACGGGCTCAAACCTGTGATTATGACTGGACGGTCTTCGGATCCTTACACATCTTTTAAACGGTAATTTGGAATGATTATGAATGAAAAAATTCAATAGATCATTTTAGCACATTTGCATTTTTTGCTTCCGAAGGGAAGCCTTGTATTTGGCCGATTTTTAGATTTTCTAATTTTGATTGCAAATGGGCTAGAATGTTACGAAACGTAGAGAAATGATGTTTTTAGGGTCATGACTGCATGTATGTATGTGACAATTAGGGTTTTTGATAATTAATTTTTAGAAAATTCAACGTGAATACGGTGAAATTTGTAGACTCATTGTAGCTATAATTGAGCTCAATTTCGGCGCGCTATTTCAGCCCGACCGGTCCACTCGTTCCTGAAATGTAACAACTTGTTTAAATTTCGGTTTTCCTCAATATCTCAAAAACTACTGCGCCGACTTCAATTTTTGTTGTTTCGAAATACTTGTCTCGTATTAAAATATGTATATCCTTTAACCCTTTCACGGGAGCGTCCTACCAATCCCTGTCGGTGTGAGCAGGAGTGGGGGTACGGGCAACCGTGCTATGGCGCTGTTTGTGTCAATGCGCCTTCTCGTCAGAGGGTAAATATGAACTTTGGGGATATTGCCGTTTTCCTGTTTTTTCATGAAAAATTTTCTGCGTGCGATAACTTAACAAAAAATAGAGGTAGCAAGTTGAAATTTGGTATGTTCCTAGCTCTTATAATAAACGGAATAAATTATTTGGTGAATTTCAACAACTAGTTATTGAACTTCACCAACTAGTTGTTCAAAATAGTAGATTGTGCACCAAGGGAGGAAAACAGGACATTCCAACCCGCGTGTGGATTACTGCCCGAGGCGAAGCCGAAGTGCACATACTATTTTTCGTTATAACTACACGGTATAGTTCGATTTTTCTTCGTAAATGCAGGGAGGAACGTGGGTTATGTCATTCCGAGGATCGTCAAAAACAACAGAAATCCGAAGAATGAAATAAGCCACCTTCCTCCCGCCATTTGAGGAGGAAAATCGCACTTTCCGTGCAGATGTGACGAGATAGTACATTACATGCTCGAGCCTTGGAAAACAGATCACCGTCCCCCACGCGCAAGATTGCCTTCCGAGCCGAAGGCGAGGATGGCAAGCACGTGAGGGATGACCACGAAAATGGGGTTTTCTGTACTGCTTCTCACGATTTCTCGTCTGGGAATTGGTATTACATACATCCCAAACTCGAAAACTTGAAAATCACTACAGAAAAATATTGTTCCTGGGCTGTTGCGATGGAGTTTTTTTACTCGTGTGGTTGGCCAGTCCTCGCCTACGGCTCGGAGGCCAACGCCACACGAGTAAAAAACCCCATTGCAACAGGCAGGAAAAATACCATGTTCATGTCCCGTGACACGAAATATACTATTTCGTGTATAATAATAGTATATTTCGTGTCGAGTGCCACTGGGGTTTTCGGCTCAGGTGAGGTTGGCGCGCCGAGCCGACGGCGAGGTGTTCCAATCACACGAGCCGAAAACCCCTGTGGTACTAGACGCGAACGATATTTTTTCGTACTGATTTTCACTTTTACCAATTTGGGGAAGGGTCAAACTAATCAATCCCCCGACTAGGAAAAGTGAGAAGCATTATGGAAAAATGAATTATCCACCAGTTATTGAATTTCAACAAGTAGTTGTTGAATTTTAACAACTAGTTACTGAATTTCAACCAGTTGGTGAATTTTAACAACTAGATGGTGAAATTTAACACCTAGCTGTTGAAATTCATCAACTAGTTATTGAAATTCACCCGATGCATAATCGGAAGGTCCCGTGTTCAAATCCCGGTCTGGACTATCCATTTTTTTCAGTGAAAATTTTCTGGTTATCCATATTGAGAATAATCCCGGTTCCTCTTCTACCTCATCCAAATCCCATCCAAACATTTCCTATGACGTCACGAAGATGTGGAACGCTATATAAATTCCCTTCTTTAATGTAAAAATCACGAATACTCATGAATAGTCAAGAATTTTTGTGGATCCCGGTGCCTTGGCAAAGTGCCTTGGCACTTTTCGTTGCCTCACATGCGAAAAGTTCCGAGTTCAATTCCCGGCGGGGTAAAATGGGGCGTTCTAACCATTTAAAGTCTTAATCATTATCGCCGAATACCCTAACCGGGTCGAAGTGATGTAAAATAACGATAAAAAAAAATTGTTGAAATTCATTCAACTAGTTGTTGAAATTCATCAAATACTTTTCTCCGTGTACTAAAGGTTGGTATTTTGGATGGGCACAATCGGCGAAACGGTTCCTGAGGTATGCAACCTTTTGTGTAAATATATTTGGTTAAATATCTCACAAACTACTCAATGGATTGGATGTTTACTTTTTTCAAAATACTCGTCTCGAGGACTTCTATTTGGATCAATCAAAATAGCTATAACAGTTTCTCTATTGGACGATTTCGAAGCCTAGATGTTTTACCTATGAGGTATTGATGAATGGAGATTATGATAGTTTCATTAGATAAAAACAACATTGAATTCTTGGAAAAAATCGTCTTTATTGAGTTCAAGGACAGCAGAAATGTCAGTCGATATTATTCTCTCCACTCCTGATTGCACATCGAGTTCAATGGCCAAATTCTGGGTTGAAAAAATCTGCAATCCAGGAAATTGCAAAACTCCTCGTTAATGTTGAAATCCATTCGCAGGTTTCTGTCAACAGCGAATAGAATAAGAAATTGGTTCACCACTGATCCTTGGACAAAGGGAACGCCGGCGTACAACGATATGCAAGTAGTCAGGAGTTTGCACACTAGTGTTAGAAACACATTGCAGAAGATGTCTGTATCAGAGATCGACAGACTAGCGAAAATAAAGGATCCGATGGCGGTGAGGACGGATCTCCTGTTGAAGGACTTCAGGGCCTCTTGCCCAGCGCCCAAAGTTGGACAGTGTCCCTATGCGATTCCAGAGATGAAGGGAAAACGATCGAGGGGGCTGAGTCAGGGAGAAATGGGACTCACGATGTTCGGCTTCGTTGGGCTCCCGATATTGTTTCCTGAGGCTTTTGGAATCCATTACGCGAGTGAGAAGGATCTTGATGATTTTTGTCACCTCTGGAGAGGATTGGGATATCTTTTAGGAATTTGTGATGAGTGAGTAAATGAAGTCAAGTAACATATGAAGAAATCAACGTGGTAGGGTAATTATTTTTTCTTCTCGTATACCCTTTCGGGTTTTTACGATTTGTTTACTTTCCTCCCCTCAAATACTCTGTATTGCATTCTTCGAAGGTCAATGAAAAATCTCACTTGAGGGAAACACCTGCTCAGGTACAGTCGTCTCTTGCGAGACTCCCGCTCCACCATGAAACCGTGAGATTTAGTGTCACCAATTTTGCCCCCCCAGGCGGGAATCGAACCCAGGTCCCGCCCATGCCAATCTCACACTCTAACCACACAGCCATCGCCATCGGTGAATGCACCGATAGAAAATAGCATGTTTCGTCATTAGGCCGAAAAAAACTTTTCTGGCGAATATGAGTTTGCAGTCTGAGCCGAAGGCGAGGATTACAATTATATGAGCTAGAAAAGGTTTTTCCTGTACTGCTTCTCACGATTTGTCATCTGGGAATTGGTATTACATACTTCTCAAACTCGAAAACTTGAAAATCACTACAGAAAAATATTGTTCCTGGGCTGTTGCGATGGGGTTTTTTTATTCGTGTGGTTTACCAGTCCTCGCCTACGGCTCGGAGGCCAACGCCACACGAGTAAAAAATCCCATCGCAACAGGCCGGAAAAATACTATTTTTTCATTGGCCGTATGTCGAATGATATTTTTTGTCATTAGGGCCGTAGGCCACCTTACGGCCAGAATGACGAAATTTATTTNAGAATGAAATAAGCCACCTTCCTCCCGCCATTTGAGGAGGAAAATCGCACTTTCCGTGCAGATGTGACGAGATAGTACATTACATGCTCGAGCCTTGGAAAACAGATCACCGTCCCCCACGCGCAAGATTGCCTTCCGAGCCGAAGGCGAGGATGGCAAGCACGTGG